TCTTATACAAATTAGGGTTTCTAGACAATATCCCAGCTGATACTGGGCTGAGGTGTGTTGCACCCTGGGCACAATACCAGAGCTGTAGAGTCTTTAAAGTTGAGTCCTTGAGGCAGCTCTTATTGTGATTTGGGGCTCTATAAATGAAAATAAACTGAACTAACACAGAGACGTGTTTATGGACTGTGTGGGAAGGCCAGAGCACCCAGAGGAGGCACAAAAAACTACAACAAAAAAATGAATCTGAGTATGTTACACCCAACACTGATACCAACTGTCAGGTGTTTTCTTGAGAACGCTCTTTATTGTTTTGAAGGAAGAAAAACAAAACCAGCGTCAGTTAGAATAACTCTCTTTGTTCACATTTATGTTTTTGGTTTGTAATTATCCCTGCTTTGCATCCTGGCTTATTAGAACAGTGTGATGCTCTTCGCAGTGGTCTGATGTTCATACCTTGGTCAATGTAGAAAGAAGTGGTGTTAAAAAAAAGTACACATAAACAACAGCACATGATGTGCTACACCGAGTCATTATTTCATTAATAAAACCACAGAGGCATCGTGTGTTACATTTAAATTTCACTGGAATAAAGAAAGGTGTAGTCAATAATCCTGTTAAATAACTGAGACTACAATATTCACCAGTGCTGATTATGAATTTTGTTATGACTGATTGGTCTACATGAAGTGGTAAGTAGTGAAAAAATGTAACCTATTCTTTACTAATCAGGTTTTTAGACTGAAGTGACCCCCACCCCCTCTGAGAAGTGGGTCATCACAAAATCCATTGGTTTTTGTTTTCAATTCTATGATTGCTCCTTTACCAACTGTCCAGTCTTTCAAGAAGCACACACACACACACACACACACACACACACACACACACACACACTGTGCCATAAAACATCTATGTTTTTTCTGTAGCAGGATTTTAGATTTAATATTAGTGATTTTGTGTATGTGGCTGCTGATGGGGACTTGTTTGTGCTTATCACAGCGCCTGCTGTCCATTTAATCTCTCCTTTGTGTTGTTTGCGTATGCGTGTGCGTGTGTCGGTCCTATAACGAGAATAAGAGTGCACATACACATATAACAAACATACGTTACTGTGTCAGTGTGTCACATGAAAGGATTAAACCCTCAGCTTATGTAGCAGCCAGCCTCAGTGACAATAACGTTCAGCTGCAAGTATTTTAACACGTGTGGGTGCTGCTCTGTGCTGCTCAATCAATTTTATCACGATAAAGAGCAATCATGACGCTCGGCGTTCAGGGGGCGGGGACTGGGGAGGGCTTGCGGGTGCAGAAGGAATACAATACGCTTGTAGGGTGATTGACAGTCCGGTTGTCCAATCACTGTTATTTTTATTGCGACAAGTCTGCTGTTGGACGCTGGCATCAGAGTTTAATAGTACTGACAAATATGTCGCTCTTTGAGAGTCTGTTACTCAGTAATACTATGGATTTGTGAGAAGAACACATAATTATTGTGGGATTACGTTTATTTGGCGGCCTCTCGGCGTTGTACAGGCCTGGATAAGTTACAAACCGAGCAGCCTCTTCTACGAACAGTTGGTCAAGCTAGCCGCCTGTAGTAAAATGACGGAAGACGCATCGGTGGGCTGCTAGCTGATTATTTATCTTTGAATTAGCCAGGAACTGGTACAGCTAGCTAACAAGACAAGACCCCACCACCGCTGAAAGGCTGGAGTATGGATTTTTGACGGATACAACGACTTTTCTGTCATTCTAACCGCAGGAAGAAAAAACATGACCAACAGTGAAACATCGGATTTACTGTGTTTGGAACCTGAACCTCGCAGGTGAGATGAATTGTTAGCTATCTGCTAGCCAGGGTTAAGCAGTACAGACCTAGGTAGCTCACGGTTAGCTAATGTTAACGCTTACTCCGGCAGCAGCGTTACACTGAGCTTTAGCCGTCGGTGGAGTGCCTGTATGAATGGTATTTTTGGATGTCCACATAGCTCATAGTAGCAAGGCAGAGCCTGTGGCTGTGGCCGTACTCTCGCGTCCCGTGGCTCGGCTTCGTTTTCTCCATCCCACTCATTTCATGAAGATAGGCGTGTAAGCTAGCTATCACCGGAATTGAAATCGTAGCGAAATTTTCTCCAATCCCTTTGACGTTAGCACCATTCTCGGTGGCTAATGCTCCGCGTCCCCACCCCGGCTTCAGTGTGGGCTGTGTGTCGCTCACTCGCAGGCTCAGAACATTCAGTCAGCTTCTGCTTCCTGAGTGTTGGCAGTGAAGCCCTGACACCACTGCACAGTGTCTCTGAAAGGATGGTAATGATAACGACCACCATGTTCACAGAGCTGTTTAGCGTGACGCCCTGTCCGTCTGTAAAGACCAGCCTGGCAGGGCCGAGTCTGGTCCGCTGCCCGCTTCCTTCATGTAAATCAGGCAGCCGCCTCAGCCCAACATCCCCGGGCTGCACTTGACACGTTATTGGGTTTTTTCCTTTTTCAACGCGATTAAAATGACAATTCACAGTCAGTGGAGATTATAATCTTTGAGTAAAAGCCATCCTTTTCCCACTTTGCATATATCAAGGCTCTATCTGCTGCTGGGACTGCAGCAGGATATACACACCCAGTATCTGTGTGAGCATAGGTGCTGACGGCGCTGTAGGCGGCTTCAGATGGAAGGTGGTGCCATTGTGCTTGTAGATTTTCTTGAAGGGTGGAGATTCTGCCTGATGGGAGCATGAATCCACTGTGAAGTACTGACTAGCTTGCATAAGACCCATTGCTGAAAAGAGGAAACACTTGTTAGAATTGTACAGGGTCTGTCTGTGGGTTATATGAAGCATTTCCATCTGTGTTTGCACTTAAATCTGCACCATTTTGCTCAGAAAAATGTAAAGAAATGAGTGGTGGCTCAAGAATTTTGCAAAATACTCTTGGTGCTTTTGGATCTAACAGTTTTGAATGCGCCCTCAGGGTGACTACATACTGCAGTCCTGACATACGTACTGTCATTTTATTTATTTTTATAACTTTGTTCAATCAAAATTATGTTGTTTTTCCCCTGCCAATTAATCTCTAATAGAAATGGACTGATCCAGGCTTTAAGTGATCTGTTAAATTTTCATAGCTAACGTTTGTTTACAGCAGAGTTATTGTAGTTTCATCATTTCTAGTTAGTTTTTAGACTTTTTGTTTTGAATTCAGTTTGGTTTTAGTTTCCAGAGTGGATTGTCTTATTTCCTCTTAGTTTTTATTGTTTCAAGTGGTTTAGTTTTAGTCTTTTTAATCATTACTGTATGGAGGCCATGTGTCAGAGGAAAGTTTTTAAGAAAATGAGTATAGATGGTACAGTAAAAACATGATTTTTGAAAGCAGATGACTCACGGTGTAATTGTAGACATCAAGAGTCTCAAACATGTCTTTCAACTCGTTGGGTAAGTTTATTTGTTTTATTAACAAACTAACAGATACAAATACTAAGGATATTTCCTCTAGACATTTATTCTTTTTTTTGTAAGTTCAGAAAACCATTTCAGTTTCTTTTTTAAATCAAAAGTCTGGTTTTTATATAACTAAAATGTTTTTCACCTCAAGTAACCGGTTCCTCGTACCTTGATCTGAGAATTATAAAACATTGTCAGTCTGACGGACATTGAAATATAACTCATTCAGGCCTAGGTGGACCCTGGCAGCCTGGCCGGCTTTACTCAGTTTCCAGAAATCCGGATTTACTCTGGTAACCACTGGGCATCTCGTATGGGAGCTGTAGTCTGCTACAAAGCCTACAACTCATCAACCCACATGCTTCAACCTGACGTCCACCCTAAAGGTCAGCTTAAAGCTAAGAGCCCACACAAAAGACTGAGTGTGCCAGTGAGGGCGCAGTCCCACTGAGGCAGGAAGCTAGCAACTGTATGTGGAGATGCCCAACGAGCTGCTGCACTGACGTCCTCCACAGAAACACTCAAGAAGGGTCCGTGAGGTCGACATTCCTCCGGTGTTACATGCACGCAGGAACTTGTAGTCCTGGCACTCGTATGCCATCACAGTGGCCTCCACCAGCACCTAATGTGCCAGTCAGTGATGTGGCATAAGCTTCTTCATGAGATGAGTCCAGGATACAGAGCTGGTTCCCTTTTCCTAAACCTCTTAGTCCCACTTTCCTGGTCTGTGCACCAGGAAGTGTGTTGTGCCCAATGAGGGGAGGTCCTTGCTGCTCCACATGATCAGACTGTAAGCTAACCTGTGCAGTGTCACACAGCGAGTGCGTCCCACTGTTGAGTCTGTCCTAACCAAGGCATGATTATATTTCAGGACTGGCAGGAAATGCCTGTAAACCAAAGAAACTGCCGTGAGCTCCAGGTGGCAGCAGCTTTTACGAGTGTGATGGAGGAGCTGGTTGAAGAGAGGATCAAATTCAGCCTCAGCATCTTAAACCATGTCCCTATACTAGCTTTCCCAGGTTGTTGCTGGGCTCTGCTGCAGTGTCAGAAAGGCAGGGATTGGCCTGTGACGCTGCCAGTCAACATGGGTTCCAGTCAACGTTCTGCCAGCACACATGCAGGCAGTGCCGAGGGGGCAACGGTCTGCCCCCAAGACCCTTATTTTTAGGTTTTGACTGTTCTCATCAAATTACCAGTAACACTTTTTACTTAGTTAACATGTTCATTCACCAAAGTCGCATACATAAACTAAGCTGTAAAGGCAAGCTACAGAGGTTTGGCCTGTGAGGTAGAATTACTCAGTCTGACAGCTTATCACAGGACAAAGCATCGTCAGGTCCTGGAAGCACCAACTGCAGTCCATGGGCAAACTTTGAAGCTGACCATAAAATGATTTTCTGTTTTTGCCATTATACTTTCCATTTGAAGTTTCAGTGTACACTTAAACACTGAGATGTCACTCTGTCAGATTAGTTCCCTCATTGTCTTTTTCATAGATTTTTACACTTGCAGCATAAGATGGACATTCTTGCTGCCTTCTCCCATCCAAATGCAGGATTACTTCCCAAGTCCCTGAACTGGTTCTTGGTCCCCTGGGAAAATCCCTGCTGTGAAACCTAAAACATTTCTTCTCATTATTTGATTTGTAAGCAGCGCTGCAAATCAGAACAGTCTGAGGAGGTGGTGTTTCCAGCACCACTGACTGCAGCACCTCGAGTTACTGTTTTCTTAATAAAAGTGAATGCAGTCAGTCAGTAATTCCACAGCAGCAGCGTTTGATCCTATTGATCGGTGACAGCTGATCAGTGAATGCAGCTCCCAAAGGCTGTGGAAAATAATAGCTTCTCTTCCTGTTCTTACTATAGGAGCTTCCTGACCAACCGTGGGACTGGATTCAGCTGTTTGTGACTCCGGACAGATTCTCCTGTTCCAGCGTTTCATCCGTTTACCCACCAGACGAGGAAGCGTGTTTGCATCCTGAGGAATACTCAGTACACAGCTGGCCTTTGGAGTCTCTATTTCCTACATATTAAAGGCACTACTTTTCCCTTCTTGTTGAGGT